TTTTATCCAGTGCCTGCAGTGCAGATTACCACATACTCCCCTTTGGAACAACTATCCAAATTGCATATGTCTGCTTCCTGATGGCACCTAGAATTCTCAGGTTTTTTCATTCTTTTCACTTGATTCCCCCAATTGTTTATCTTCTGCCCCAAGATTACATCAGCCTTCTCAGCATCACAAGGATCTTCTGGAACAGGGATAAGCAAGCCTTTTAAGAAAGGGAAAATAAAGTTGTGCTGATGTCCTCTGCAAAGAAATGTTGCAATATTCTCAGCACTCCATCTAATGCTTGGAGGGGGATTTGTAAAGATGGCCAGAGCATCAAGATTCATTCAACAAATGGCAGCATGCGTCAGTGGGTTCTGGAAAATGTGGGCAGGAAGGAGTGGATGACATACACAAAATCACAAAAGTCCTTGAATGACTCCTGGCACCAAATGGATCCAGAAAAGTGCCTTGCAATGTGGATACAAATATTTCTGTAGCTGTGCAGACATTCATCAGCAAATTTGGCACTGTTATAGCAAATATGTGCTGGACTCCCCATTGTAATCAACTTCTTTCACTTCTCACCAAAAGAGCAAACATTATTTGAGCCAGCACAAAATGGGCTGCCGAACCTGGCATTGCTCACTTCTGGGCAGAAAGTTTCTGGGTTTAAGGTATCCAACCCATCATCACTCAAAGTACTTTTCAGAAAACCAGAATTCGGCTCAGTTCTTTTCATCTCTAAAGTTGAACATTCATAAGTTTGACATTCAAATTTCTGTACCAAAAGTGTTGGAAGACAGCAGGAAAATTGATGCACCTATTTTTATTTATAACTTCTATTGCAATTGACCAAGACTTATTCCTGAGGTCTTTGAGCTTATTCTTCACAGAATTAGGTACAATTAGTCAGAGACCTCAGTCTTACCAAAAGAGGAGGTTACTACCTGTAACTCAAGATTCTTCAACATGTGTGGTCCATATTTGGATTCCAAACGTGGGTATAGAAGCATGCCATGTGTCAGAGCCAGAAGATTTTTGTAGCAGTGCCCATCAACCTGCATGTGCATTGTGCGTCCCCCTTGTATTTGCAACCGAGGCTACAATAGGTCATGTGAGTAGACACCTCAAAGAGCCTCAACTGGAAGAGCCTCTAGTTACAGATGAGTAACCTCCTCTTCTTCGAGTGATAGTTCCTATACGGATTCCAAACATGGGTTTTGAATTGCGAGCAGTGATCAGTGTGGAGGTGGGTGCGAGGACATGCGAGGAAGCGAGATAAGTAGTACAGCGTGGCCTATGGCTGCATCTGTGCGACTTGACAAAGCCCTAGCTGGGATGATTTAGTTGGAGTTGGTCCTGCTTTGAGCAGGGGATTGGACTAGATGACCTGCTGAGGTCTCTTCCAACCCTGATATTCTATGACCTGCAGCTGCCACCAGGGCGATGGTGTAGTGAGACGTGAAGATGTGAATGGAGCACCACGTTACTGTGTGGCAGATGTCTTTCAACGGTACATCTGCAAGGCAGTCAGATGTAGCTGCGAGGCTCGCGTACACCATGACTCCAGCCAGTGGAGGGATGTCAGCATGTGTGTAATATTTATGGATGCACCCAGAGATCAAATTGGAGACTCACTGCAAGGAAAGGGCTTGTCCTTTGCTATGACAATGGCAATAAAGAGTCTTGACAATACTTGAAAGGCATGGGTGCATTGTTGGTAGAACATCAGCGTACATCAGACATTGAGGGAATGTAGTGTTCTGTCCACATGAGAGGCATGGGGTTCAAGATAGAAGACCGGAAGGTGAATGCACTGATTCAGGTGGGATTCTGACACCACCTTCAGGAGGAATTTTGGGTGCAGCCGCAGCTAAACGTTATCTTTGTGGAAGACTGGGGGGGCGGAAGTTGTCAGCTTTATGGCTGCCAGTTCACTGACCCGTCTTGCCAAGATAATGGCGACTAAGAAGATTACCTTCATGGAGAGGTGGGAGAGAGAGCATGTGGCAATGGGCTCGAAGGATGGTTTTGTGAGTGTGGCGCTATCTAAGTTAAAGGTCCCAGGAAGTTGGGGGTTTGAGCACCGGTGGGCAGGACTGCTTTGCAAATGCTGCAATGGGTGGCGACATGCAATACAAGCAGTGATGGTGCTTGTTGCTCACTGAAAACAAATGCAGGCAGGATGCACAGTTCTTGAACCCAGGCTGACAGGGCACAGTCCCCAGATGGGGATGGGAGGAGAGCTGTCCCCCAAACAGAGAAAAAACTAAACTAACTCTATGAACTGCAAGGAAAAACATCCATCAAGATAAAAAGACAACTATTTTCAACTATGTACAGATGAAAGGGCAAAGAGTACCCTCTTTGTGGAGCTACAAGTAAGGAGGAACAGGGGCTCCGACTCCAACCATGCGGCAGTAAGAGGGAAGTGGAGCGGCATCAACCCACATGGCCTATTATAGCCTCAGCTGCAAACACACTGGGGAGGGGAACACACATGCAGGTCAAAGGGCATTGCTATAAAAACCTTCCGGCTCCAGCACATGGCATGCATGCGCATCCACATTTGGAATCCATATGGGAATCATGTAGAGGGGCGGTCACCTCGCTCCAGTTCAGTAAAGGTTAAAAGCCAGCCCTTGGAGAGGGCTGGGGCTGGAAGCCAATCAAAGAAGGCTGGGATGCAGCCAACCAGGGCCAGGCTGGACCTTATAAAAGGGCTGCAGGGCCAGAAGGCGGCCAGTCTCTCTCCAGCCTTGGAGAGAGAAAGACTGGCTGCCTGCAAGCAGAACAGGGTACCTTGGACAGAGGAGGAGTGGGAGAAGCTGAGGAGCTCCAGCCTGATGAACTCCCAGGCTGAGGCATTGCTTCCATGGCCTGAGGAGGTCCTGGGGCTGTGTGGAAACAGCCAGAGAAGGAAGAGACAGCAGGTCCAACCCCCTGGCTCATGATGAGTGGCCACTTCAGACTGCAGTTTGCCCGATGGAAAGGGTTAGATGAAGACTGGCAGTGGATCACTGAGGCGAGGTGGGCTTAGGGGACCACGGTTCCCTGGGGAGGGGAGGACCCCAAGTGTGGGAGCACTGCTGTGGGGCAATACCTAGGAGAAGGGGAACCGCAGGCCAGTGAGGGATGTGGGGTCAGTGGTGGAGATTAACAGGAAGCAAGTACCAGTAGAGAGACACTGGCCAGAAGGAGGCGCTCCAAGGCTGGAATCAAGCTAATTCATGTACGACTAGCAGGAGGCCCCGCAGCGGTGAATGTGTGCCATGTTACAAACCATCACTTGAAGAGGAATATATGCTTTTGCCATCTCCAGGATGGATGAAAACAAGCTTCACTGCGATCTCCCAAAGGAAAAAAGATTTGACAGAGTGCTTAGTGGAAAAGGTTGCCACATACATGACATGTAACACTGTGAGTTGGCATCATGCCTTCATCAGATAAAGTCTTGAAGTCAACAGCACTGTTGAGCCAAAAGTAATGCTGCTCTCAGTGATCATCAAGTATTGCAATTCCAGAGGTGGGGGTCACAGCCATTGTAGCAAGACCTCCACCAACTTCTGTTCTCTCTCTCTTTCTGACTCTGCACTTACTGCTGGAACTCCATAACCTCACTACAGCTACCCATGCTGTCTAGGGGGGATCCAGTAGGGGCGAGCACCAAGCACAGTCTACGGGGCTCCGGCAGAGATGTCTGAGGAGCATAGGCCTCCCGGCCTAAGGAGGGGGAATACTGCCACTCAGGGGTGGGATAGTAAGGGGACGTGGCCTGCCCAACTCCATCACGTCCCAGCCCAGGTCCCTAACAGTGGCACAGTGGTTCACCACTGGGTAAGTGGGGATCTGCCCGCAACACGCTGATCCTGTATCAGACCAGCTCTCGACCAGACAGTTTCCCTGAGCTGCTTCCTACTCTGCCTCTTGGGTGTACCTGCAGCCTCAATCTCCCTGGGATATATCGCCCAGGGTAGCAGTAGCAGCTACTCAGCATCAGGAGTGGCAGGGCTCTCTGGGAGCTCATGCAGGCCCTCGGGGAAGCCGTGGTTCTCCTCAGCATCCCGCTCCAGCAGCAGGAAAGAAATGTCTGTCTCCCTTGGCGGCTCCCTCTCAACTGAGCTGCTGGGCCAGCCTTTTATACTTCCTCTTCCAGTCCCGCCCTCTGTTCTGGTATGCAGGTCATGGTCATCCTGGCTCCGCCCACCAGGCGGCTTGTGGCATTCCCTCTGCATCCACCTCTGCGGAAGGCCACGCCTCCTCGCTACACTATACTTTGCAACAAGTGTTTCCCACCTGCAGTCCCAATACCCACTAGGTTATCCTCATTAACCTGCTGCCTGCATGCTGCCACTATTGCCTTTAACTAGTGCAAATAAGATGTTGTAATATCATTTGATCGTTCTGTGTCTCAACGGAGCTCCCATTTGGCAGGCCTCCTAATGGTATGTTGCATTAGCACATCTATTTATAGACCCAACTGTTAGTCCTCAACAGCCCGAACAAACAGGAGAGGGTTTGAATTGAAGCCTCAGCATTCAGAGGGCCCCTTGGTTTACGTTTAAGATAGGCAAAGTGCCTGCACTGCTCTGCTGGACGTCCTTTTCATATTTTAACCTGGGTACTAAGCGCAAGCAATGAACAGAGGCATGTGGGAGAGAAAGTAGCCTGACGTGGATATACGCTAACATCAAACCAGCTCTTTCAATTCCAAATGACACTGATTGAAAGAAATCGGCACAGTGCACGCGCCGTACCCTTTACGCTGTCAGAAGCAAAACAGGATAGTAGCAAATTGAAAAGACTATGAGCAGCCTACATATGTACTATCCTGCCATAGAGCCTGCTGGTAGCAGCAGCTTCCTCCCTTTCAGACAGCTGACAGCCTCACTCGCACAAGCCAGGACCAGCAAGCTGTTACGATCAGACCTATTAACGCATTTGTTTGTTTTGTTCAAAAAGCCAGAGTTTTCTAGAAAGTTTAGCAAGTAAATTCTAAAGCTGGTTCTTACCACCCCGATTAGGTCTCCTCGCCCATATTCACCAGTCAGTTGTTTTTTCCCATCATCCATCCTAATGACAGAACGAAGTCGACCATTCAGCACAATGTATGTGCAGTCTGACCTGTCCCCCTGCCTGGGAGAGAACAATCCATACTATGAATTAGTGTGGTGTCTGTGCTCAGCAAATGCACTCAAAAAAACCAATTAACTAATCAGCTCTATGTAAACCTCTCCACCATCCCTTAGTAGCTCTGCTCTCTGCAGAGATGAGAGTAAAAACATTTACTGAACAATTAAAAAAAAACAACCTAATCACAGATTTGTCAAATGCAATTAGCAAACACCTTTCATCTTTTACTATATATAATCAACAACTGGTTGGTTTTAGGTCACCAGGCAGACAGATGGAATTTGAACATTCCCTAGCAAAGCAAACAGGCTTCAGGAAAATCATTGAACTCTGGGAATAGGGCAATTGTGCAGAGAGAAGAGAACAAACTGTGTGGGTGAGTTGCTTGACTCAAACCTCAGCCTCCTCTTCTGGTGGGAGAGCCTATGCATGGTGTGAAGCTGTAGCCTTTGCCTGGGTTCAAGCCCAACTGTAGATATGGCAGAACGCTGTTTGGCATTCAGGTCTCCAGCACAATGAAGGATACAAGCTGGGCTTAAAACTTTGATATTGGAACCAATACTAGGGCATAGCCCGGCCATTTGATTTAAAACAAATTTCCCCATCGACACACGATGTTTTCATGCACTGATCAAGTATTTGAGATTTCTATTAGTAATGACATTGCAAAATCTACAAAAAACTAGAATTACAGTTACCTGCTATTTCTGCTAATTGCAAATCAGAGCTTTGTCCTCCCAGCTGTTGCTTTCATGCAGTGGATCAAATTTAAATCACAGCTAACTCTAGAAATCTAATGGAGCTATCCAAGGAGGAATTTGGCCCAGTACATATATTAAGTGCTGTAAAGTCAGTTTTAATTTACTGTTAGGCAAACCTGAGTTCCCTTTCAGTTGGTTTATTTCAGACTGTAAGCTCCTTGAGGCAGAGACGAGTTTTTATCCTCTGCACACACGGAAGACTTTACTGGCAAACAAAACCTGTCTATATAAATTGTTATTGTCTTAGTTATCTATGTGTTATCTGTTTTGCTACATCAGAAAGGTACCAAAGAATTTACACCAAAGCAGCATGCAGGGATTTAGCATCCCATTCTCACTAATGTAAATGAAAACCACGAGGCTGAAAAGTCCTTAAGGACTATGCTGATGGGCACAAGAGAAACCCCTCAAAAGGCAGACAGATGAACCCTTCATACACTTGTTGATGAGCCTGCCCCAGTGAGCAAGCAGTGTGACTCCATGGGGGATGACAGTTAGGTAAAGCACTCTTATTTATTTGTGTATGACTTTGAAACCTTTCAGAGTAACAGCCGTGTTAGTCTGTATTTGCAAAAAGAAAAGGAGTACTTGTGGCACCTTAGAGACTAACCAATTTATTTGAGCATGAGCTTTCGTGAGCCACAGCTCACTGCTCACGAAAGCTCATGCTCAAATAAATTGGTTAGTCTCTAAGGTGCCACAAGTACTCCTTTTCTTTTTGAAACCTTTGATATCATTCCAGCGGGGGTATTGGAGCTTACAAAACATGGGCCTTTTGCTCACATCTCACCTGTAAACAGCTCGTCCAGCCTCCACTTCCATCCAGTCCAAGGCAAAGTCAATCTGCCTCACAAATGAGGACATCCTCTTTACAACACTGTGGGCCACACCCAGCACTACACTTGGCTGCACCCGCATTATCCTAGAAGAGAAACAAACACAAAGCCACCTAAACGCTTCACTCAGACAGAAACAAACACAGACACCTTCCCCAGAGCAAACCACAGTCGCTGCAGGTGCAACGCAGGGCTTCACAACAAGAATCAGGTTAATGGGTTTTCACTTTAGAAATGGAATAAAAATACAATCTACATAACTACTGCTCCCTTGGTGCCCAAGACTCCAGTTTTCCATGGTACAGTATGCACTGGCCTCCCACCCGCAGTGAAGTGTTTAAGGAGATTCTCTCTCTTTACAGAGAGCGGCACACCACTGCATTTTTACAAATCTCACCCCCTTGTGCACTTGGACGTGCCGTGTAGACAAGCCCTGAGAGTCTTACTAGGTCTGGCAGTTGACCATGATCTTAAAAATAAAATTAAAAAGACAGAGACCTGCACCCTGGATGACACAGTGCTCGCTACTGGAATTTCAGTGGCTTTAAGTGGTAATTGAAGCCCATACACTCAAACAATTGACCTTGAGAGCAAAAAAGGTTAGGCATACACAGAAGGAGTGGGATAACAGCTAGTACCATCAGACCCTGACTAAGTAGCATACCTCTACAAGGTCCCTGACTTTGGGAATGGCTGCACTGCAGCTAGGAGTGAGCCCGGGAAAACAGACTTGTGAAGCAGGGCTTGAGCTAGCATGCCACAAATAACTGTATATGTTGTGGCTTCTGCTGGAGCTCAGGTTCTCAAATCTAGCCGGTCAGATGGGCTTCAAAGCCCAAGCCCAAGCCATAATGTCTACACTGCTATTATTAACGAGCTAGGTTGAGCCCTGCTAATGCAAGTCTGTCTACCCCGACTGGGAGGCTCACTCCCAGCTGCAGCACAGAGAAACCCATTGACGGACTTCAGCGATTTTAGATTTAAAGTCCCGCACCTTTCATGCAAACCTGGTGTCTCCTCTTGTCTTTCATGGAAAATTATTCACATTAGAAACAAAGAATCATGAACCTAATGTTACAGAAAGTTACTATAACACTAAAGGGAAGATCCCTCTGCATTTTAAGTTTCCTGCATGAATCATTCCTTGGTGTCCCTAATTTTGAAGTTTTAATAACAGGCTTGGGTCTTGGCAGGTAGAGATGAATGTGCAGAAGTTCTATATTTGTGTGTACCCTTAACTCACACACACTTATAGAGTGAGAGAACTAGTCAGAGGGCAAGCAGTGCACCAACACAACAGAGAGAGACAAACTACAATTAGTCTTTGAAAAGCTGGGTGGGTTCCCTGAGCACGTGCGTGGTGCTTAATAGGCTGCTATGTGGCAGCTTACAGGGAACTTAGGTATGTACCTTCTTTGGTAATCCTGAAACTCGTAACCAGGAAGCTGGTCTCATCACCACCGCCGTTGACACTGAGCGGGCTGCTGCTATTATCTTCACCACTTTCACAAGACTAAGATAAATTTTGTACAGTGTATGTCTTGTGAGGTATCATTTGAAAAGTCATAATCTGCTGAATATCATTATCCCGTGGAAATATGTGTAGCAACACTATATGTGAAGTTATCAGACTCTGCTGTATGATTGTTACTAAAACATGCTGTCCACAAACCAGAGACAAAGACACACTGGCCCCAGCCAGGTGTCAAAGAGCTATCACCTGCTTAAGCAGCCATTCTCCAGCGGGGGAAAGGTGACAACAAGAACTTTACATTCCATCACAGAGACAATTCAAACTTCATGTCCACAAGGGACTGTTTTGTCACCATGACACAGCAAGGACGTTTCCAGCACAAGAAATTGAATTAAAAAGAGGGGAGGAGAAGGCTTGTCTTCACTCCTCCTCCCATCTCTCTGCTCATGACATCAATGAATACCTGAAGGACACTGAACTAAGGGGGAGGGGTCCCAAGCTGAAAGGAAATTTACCACAGCCTGTGAAATTTACCACAGTGTATGGTGAGGAAAGCCTTCGCTTTGAATTCTGTTAGTTTGTTAAGTTAGCCATTAGCTTGCATTTTACATTTATTTTCTTTTAGAACCAATCCTGACTTTTATGCATCATCACTTTTAATCACTTAAAATCTATTTTTCTGTAGTAAATAACTTATCTTATTGTTTTATCTTAACCAGTGTGTTTGGATTCAAGAGTGGGAGAACCTCCATTTGGGATAACAAGGCTGGTGCATTATGATTTTCCTTTGATGAAATGACAGACTTTCTATGAGCTTGTACTGTTCAGAAAGGTACTGAGCAGCACAAAACGCAAATTCCTGGGGGAACAAGGCTGGGACTAGGAATTTGCAGGTGACACCCAGTGTGTAATTTATGAGTGACTAGTCATAGTGCTCATGTGTTTAGCTGGGAGTGAATTTGCATGCTGAAGGCTGTGTGAACAGGGCAGGTGTGGTTGTTCTGACAGCAAAGCAGTGTAAAAGGCACCCCAGGCTAGAGAATTAAGGGGACACAGCTGTTCAACAGTCCAGACTGTACCCTGGGTAATGTCACAAGTCTATAGCTCTGTCCTCGCTATTAGCTGACCTTCACTGATGATGGCTTGAAACTGTTCTTTTTGTTCGGTTGGCAGGAAGTCAATAAAGGCACTATGTTTCCAATAATTGGTGTGGTCATATTTGGCCATTAGGGCCTGGAAATTTGCATCCTGATCTGCAGGGTTGCAGAAGAATACACTTTTCTGCTGAATACATGAAACCTTTTCCAGTCCTTGTCATAAGCGATAGACTAAGTATGGTGCTGTCTTCCACATGCTATGGAATTCGATGAGGGATGTGAAAATAGAAGTCCACATCCTTGGACTTGGACATAATATTTTTTTAATCGGCCCTTTTGCATGTCGGTGCTATGGAAGCCAGTGTGTATCAAATAATCTTGGTGGGATCCAAGAGCACTGCACTGACTGGGAGAGCAATCCTTGATGAGGAGGTCATATACAGTATGTCTAATAATTTGTGATGCAATTCTTTTACCTCTACGAGGGGAATCTAGAGTGTGCAGATAATCCTCTTAGTGAGGTCCTGAAAGAGTTTGAAATCATCTGACATTGATGGTGGAGGGGGCATGACAGCTTCATCCAGTGAGAATGAAGAGATATTCATTGGAGGAGTAATATCCTCTAGTCTGGCCTCCTGTTCCTCAAAAAAGTTTCTTCTTGAGGTTCTGGGACTCCAGAAAGAGAGACTGAAGGAGATCGCCTTGCTGTCTCTCTATAATAGACATGAGAGTCTCTAGCCTAGAAGAATAACTTCTGTAGGCTGCCATGTATGGGTCCCAGTATGGCCACGTAGGTGGGGGAAAAGAAATGGGTGTTGGCACCCATGGGTGTCCATACCAGGTAGGTTGAAGCTCTGAACATGGATGCACTTGGGAAGGCCCTGGGTGTTGTTCAGGTGAGCTTTGGTGCAAGACTAAGGAGAGGTTGTCATTCTCCTGTCTTGGGGCAGGGCACCTTGACAGGATGCATAAAAGTCTCCTGTCAAGGTGCTGTAGGCTAGGAGAAGCCCAACCTGAAGCAAATACTCACCAGCAACCATACACCACACAACAAAAACACTAACCCAGGAACCTAACCTTGCAACAAAGCCTGTTGCCAACTGTGTCCACATATCTATTCAGGGGACACCATCATAGGGCCTAATCACATCAGCCACACTATCAGAGGCTCGTTCACCTGCACATCTACCAATATGATAGATGCCATCATGTGACAGCAATGTCCCTCTGCCATGTACATTGGCCAAACTGGACAGTCTCTACGTAAAAGAATAATTGATGATTTAACTGGGAATTGGTCCTGCTTCGAGCAGGGGGTTGGACTAGATGACCTTCTGGGGTCCCTTCCAACCCTTATATTCTATGATTCTATGAAATGGACACAAATCAGACGTCAAGAATTATAACATTCAAAAACCAGTCAGAGAACACTTCAATCTCTTTGGTCACTCGATTACAGACCTAAAAGTGGCAATTCTTCAACAAAAAACTTCAAAAACAGACTCCAACGAGAGACTGCTAAATTGGAATTAATTTGCAAACTGGACACCATTAACTTAGGCTTGAATAAAGACTGGATGTCTCATTACACAAAGTAAAACTATTTCCCCATGTTTATTCGCACCCCCCACCCCACCACTGTTCCTCACACGTTCTTGTCAACTGCTGGAAATGGCCCACCTTGATTATCACTACAAAAGGTTTCCCCCGACCCCCGCTCTCCTGCTGGTAATAGCTCACCTTACCTGATCACACTTGTTACAGTGTGTATGGTAACATCCATTGTTTCATGTTCTCTGTGTATATAAATCTACTCACTGTATTTTCCACTGCATGCATCCTATGAAGTGAGCTGTAGCTCACGAAAGCTTATGCTCAAATAAATTTGTTAGTCTCTAAGGTGCCACAAGTACTCCTTTTCTTTTAACTCTAATTAAGCCTCACAGCACCTGCAAAGTAAGTAGCATAGCTAAGATTTTTCAAAGGAGACCAAGGGGGTTAGGTGTCCAATTCCCACTGAATTTCAAAAGGAGTTGGGTTCTAAGTTCCTTAGGCACCATTGAAATTCCAAGTCTTTTTCTGTTTTGCATATGATGAAACTGAGGCAAAGGGACAGGAGATGACTTGCCCAAGGTCCCACAGCAAGTTTGTAACAGAGCCAGGAGTAGAATCCAGATCTCCATTCCCAGTTCCCTAGTTTTATAGCTAGAACATGCTTCCTTATCACCTTTTTGCATTATATACTGAGTGTTGTTTCTTTGGTTTCCCTTAATTCATACAGAAAAACAACAAAACTGAATAAACTTGCAAAGACCTCCTGAATGTCCCCACCAAAACAACTTCAAAGGGAGAGAGATTGGGGGAGAGGGACTTTATAATGGTTTCTGAAACCCCAGGGAAGAATGGGTAATTATTACCAGGGGGTTCGAATATCACCCAAACATTACAAGTTGTGTGCCCCCAATATCAGCTTGTTCACTCACCACCAGTAACAATTCCTAGGAGTGGAGTTTGA